GGCAGAGCAGTCGCCAAGGTGCGGGCATGGGGCCGGTTGTCTGGTCCGGCTGTGCGTCGACGCACGGGCGTGACCCTTTCATTCATCCGGGCTTGTAGCCAGAGGTGATCTAACTGGACTTTTCCGCGCGGGCCTTTGAGCTGTTCAGCCAGTGCCATTGATGAGGCACTGTTGGCACCATCCTGCTGTTTCAGCAGCAGGCCAGCGGGGGACGGCATCGTGCAAGTATCAGATTTCGAAAAGATTAATTTATCTTCCAGAAATCAGCCCCATCAAGGCTGGCTTTATATTCCCATAGTACTGTGCAAGCCTAGTATAGTACGTGTTGTACTCTGCTAGTATTATACGTTTTATTTTTATATAAAAAAAAATTTTTTTTGGGGGGGGGGTCCGGCTGTTCTATACATTTGTCTGCAATGGGTCATCTCACAGAGCACATTGCTGGAGCCCCACCAGGCCGGGAGCTGTGCCCTCCCATGTCTTCATGTTTTCCTGTAACAGAGGCCATTCTCTCTGGCAGTTCAGTCTTTCGGTGCCGGTGGAACGTGACACGGTTCAGTTGTAATTTCCATTTCAGCCGCGCTGCAGGGAACAACTTATGTGTGCCCGACAGACTGTGAGCTGGCTAGGGATGCCATAACACAGCATCACACACTAGAGGCCTCTGACAACAAAAATATAAGTTCCCACAATTCGGGAGGCTAGAAATTTGATATCAAGCTGTTGGCTGGGGTGGTTTCCCCTGAGGTCTCTCTCCTGGGCTTGTAGACAGCCACGGTCTATATCTCTGTTCACGTGCTCTTCTCTCCTGCTTCTCTGTGTCCTTACCACGTCTTTTTATGAGGGCCCGTGTCATGTCAAATCAAAGCAAACACTAACGAATTTACTCAAACTTAATTGCCTTTCCAAAGACCTGTGTCCTACCGCTGTCATTGTCTTATGCGCTGGGTATTAGGACATCAATTGTGAATTTTAAGAAGGGAATACAGTTCAGCCCAGAACATATACTAATCCCCTCCTAAAATAGACTCCGGGGAAAGGGATTCCTGGGTGAAAAGCTATGCACGTGNCCGCCGCGCTCCCAAGCAGCGCACTCTCCAGTGCGCCACCGGGCCGGCCCATGCTCTATCTTTTATCTCTTCAGTAAAAGAAGGAGGAAGGCCACTGTACATTTCTAGTATGTCAACATGAAATTATTTTACTATAAAGTAAATTAAGAGATCCACAATATTTAATACCCAAATTATCTCCAATCGTACATGTATTTATTTTTTTTGCCCAACTTAATTGTAAATTTCAGAAAGCTCTGATATAGATATATTGTCTCACTGGAAATTATGCCACCATTGTTTAAGTGGGGACACAAACTACTACCCATCACAGTAATTTCAAGGTAATAAGACCAAATTTCATGTTTGAAATAGATAATATTTGGTTTATAAAATCAATTATTAGTAGATATCATTAATGTAAACATTGGGAAATAGAATACAAGATCTTTTAAAGCTATGGACAACAATCTCACTTTAAATATACAAAGTAACATAAAGTCATACTGTTATTCTCTGACAATTCAGTACCACAGTATCAGCAGCAGTTGTCTTCATTAAAATAAAAGTACTATTAAACCAACTGATAAGTCTCTATAATTCACAAGTAATTGAGGTTTTTTGTTTGTTCTTACATCTCCCCTAGAGATAACCAAGGTTAAGAAACTTAAACTATATCAGCTAGGAAAATAAAAGTGACCTCATGATTTTTGCTTCCCAGTAATAATTTATAACGCTAATAAATAAAGTGAACAAAAGCAAAGTCAAACACCATTAGCAGTTTAAGTCAGGTCCACTTACCTGCTCTACTAACTTCATTTTTGCTCCGCAAAATTGCACTGAAACAAAAGTCTAGGCTCAGGTTTTCTTAACAAAGAGCTTTATACAAAACCTGTTGCTTTGTAAAAGATAGCCAGGGATGACTACAGAAATCCATAGCCCTAGTCATTCTAAAAATTCCAAGTAAGCTATCTACAGTAGGACAAGCTATTTTTTATTTGTAAATTAAAGCACCATTTTAACACAAAATACAGGTTTTGCAAACAGGCTCTCTGGTTAAGAGGTTCTTTGTTTATTTTCCACATGAACTGACTGTAGCCACAATAATACCAACATACATAAAATTAAAAATTTAATTTAAAAGGGTAATAAACCGTATTTGCAAACCTATACACATACCGCAAATTAATCTAGATGTCTGGGGTATGATTATATCCCCAGCTGCCTGAATTGAGTTCAGGTCCTGGGTCTACTCTTTACTATGTAACCTTGGACAAGTATTCAACTTGTATGTGCCTGAGTTTTA